GCGGCGGCTCCCGCCGGCCCTCAGCGGGGCAGGGGCTTCTCGCACACGAAGTAACACTCGTAGGTGCAGTAAACGTCGTTCCACTTCCCGGCGAGCCAGACGTGGGCACAGTCCTCGTTGTTCCCGCTGTTGTTGGGCTCCCCCTCCTTCCAGAACCTGGGAAGAGCGGGGATAAGGAGGGATAAGGGCGGGATGGGAGCACAAACCGGGCGGGCTGAGCCCGATTTTGGGGTCAGTCCCGGCTCGAGGCGCCCCCGCACTGACGTGAAGGTGGTTTTGTAGTCGGTGCCGTCGATCCACTCCCAATCCCCCTCGGAATTCCGGTCCGTGAGGCCGATCCAGAACCGCTCGTTCCGCGTCCGGAACATGATGAAGCTCTGCCGGGATCGGGGAGCGGGATCAGGGCGGGAAAAAACGCCGGGAAAAGGAGGGATGGGATCGGGGAGGGAGAGGGATTGGGAATAGGAGGGCGATGTGGGATAGGGATGAGGGACAGAGATGTGGGACAGGGATGAGGGACAGGGATGTGGGGTAGGGATGAGGGACAGGGATAGGGATGAGGGATATGGGATAGGGATGAGGGATTGGGATTAGGGATGGGGACAGGCATAGGGGTGTGGGAAATGGGATGGGGGTGTGGGATATGGGATGAGGGATAGGATGTGGGATATGGGATAGGGATGTGGGATGAGGGATAGGGATGTGGAATGAGCATGTGGGACAGGGATAGGGATGTGGGATAGGGATAGGGATGAGGATAAGGATGAAGGACAGGGATGAGGGACAGGGATAAGAATAATGATGAGGGACAGGGACAGGGATAAGGATGAGGGACAGGGACAGGGATAGGGATAAGGAACAGGGACAGGGATAAGGATGAGGAACAGGGATGTGGGACAAGGATAAGGATGAGGGACAGGGATAAGGATGAGGGACAGGGATGTGGGATAAGGATGAGGGACAAGGATAAGGATGAGGGACAGGGATAAGGATGAGGGACAGGGACAGGGATAGGGATAAGGAACAGGGACAAGGATAAGGATGAGGGACAGGGATAAGGAACAGGGACAGGGATAAGGATGAGGGACAGGGATAAGGATAAGGAACAGGGATAAGGATGAGGGACAGGGATGTGGGATAAGGACGCGGAAAAGGGACGCGGAGCAGGGACACGGCACAAGCCGCGATCCAACCGCATCCCAAAAAGCCCCCGGGCCGCGGTTCCCGGCCGCTCCCTGGCGGCGGAGCGCGGGAAGGGCTCTCCGGGAGGATTCCCGGCGGGAATTCCCGGCGGGATCGGGACTGGGATGGGGATCGGCACCTGCTCGGCGAAGCTGTCGATGACGGCGAGGTGCGATCCCAGCTCCTCGCACTGGGCCTTGGCCCGGAACCAGCTGGCGCGGCCCAGCGAGAAATAGTAACACTTCCCGAGGGAATATTCCCATTCCCGGGAA